TTGTTAGACCATGGCTCAGACACAAGCTTGTGCTCTGACGACTTGAGAAGTAAATTAGGCGCTAGAGGCGAGAGACTCAAGTATACTTCTTCTACCATTAATGGAGACTTAGAAAATGAAGGTTGGAAGTTCGAGCTAGCAGTCAAAGGTAAGTTTGAATGCCAAGAAATGAATGTTGAATTTCTGACAGTACCTAAGATACCAGCACCTATGGAAAGCTTTCCTACAGTTGAAGAATTAGGTAAGTGGGAACATTTAAAGTCTTTTCCATGGGAGAATCAGAAGTCCGGTAAAGTAGATCTGTTAATTGGAGCTGACTCACCACAAGCCTTCTGGGTGTTAGACGAAAGAAAGGGCAAGCCTAGAGACCCATATGGCGTAAAGACACCCCTTGGATGGTCGATTATGGGGCCTGGAGGTCAGAGTTGTAAGAAGGGATACTTTAACCGAATTCACGTGAGTAATCAACGACTACTTGACGAAGTTCAGAAATCCTGGGCTATTGAGAACAGTGGTTTCTCTGATGAGCAAGACCCCATAGAAGACATGAGAGCACGCGAAATCATCCGATCAACCATAAAGAAGACAGGTGATAACCACTATGAGATGGGTCTATTGTGGAGACGAGATGAACACACCATGCCTCTTAACAAGACGATGGTATTGTCGAGACTAACTTCGTTAAAGAGACGGCTAGCGTCAGACAAAGACATGCATAGTAAGTATACCGAAGTTATAGAAAGCTATATTAAGAAGGGGTACGCAGAGCCAGTGCCCAACGAGCATCAATGGAGACATGTACCAACCGATAACAATCCTGCTGACGAAGGTTCAAGAGGCACATACGAATTGGGTAAGTGGTTGACAGGTCCCGATTCTCTGTATAAAGAAGAATCACGCTGGCCAGTGTCGAAATTTTCAGAAAGTGATCAACTGACTCCTGATCCCGAGGTAAAGAAGCCAGTGGTAATAGTAAACAAGATACAAACCTGTGAGAGTAGCTTTGTAGAAACATTGACAGATAAATACTCATCTTGGACGAAGAAGATACGTGTTCTTGGGTGGGTATTACGGTTCATAAGATGCCTTAAAGCAAAGATGAAGCACCAACCCATAACGACAAGCAACTTGCTCGTGCCCGAACTGGAAGAAAGTGAGACCATGATCCTGTCAAGTAAGCAGAAGCACTCATTTCCGAATTGGAAAGCCGACAAGAGGATTGAAGACCTAAACCCAGTGCTCGTAGGTAATCTACTTAGAGTTGGCGGTAGATTAGATCATGCCAGAATAGATTACAATGCCCAGCACCCTGTGATATTGGCTAATGATGAAGAAATGGTAAGATCGCTGGTCATGAACTACCATCAGAAGGTCGGGCACAATGGATGGTCAGGCACATTGAACGCTCTCCGTGAACGTTTTTGGATCCTCAAAGGTCTGTCTCTTATACACATCTAGATGTGTATAAGAGACAGCTCTAGGCGTCAGTTGGCATGCTGGAAGCGACAGTTTCACTTTTCAGCTTACTCCCAAAGACAAACCTATGACTAGAAGAGGGCTGCTGTCAGTTACCAGTTCTGTTTTCGACCCTTTGGGGATGGCTGCTCCATTTGTTTTGTTAGCAAGATCTCTCCTTCAAGAAGTCTGTAGGAGAGGTGCTGATTGGGACCAACCCTTAACCGAAGATGAAAAGAAGACATGGAGTCAATGGCTTGAACGTACATCAATCCTGTCACAAATCAGCGTTCCTCGATGGATGAAACTTGATACCGCTAATGGTGCGCAAATGCATATTTTCTGTGATGCGTCAGAAAGGGGTTATGCTGCAGTTGCCTATCTTCGGATAGAACAAGATGGTAAGAAGCCTACAGTGGAATTCATCCTTGGTAGAGCTAGAGTTGCCCCAATAAAACTTGTAACAATTCCAAGACTAGAACTTATGGCCGCAGTACTAGCTGCAACCCTCGATAGCACCATAAGAAGAGAGCTTACATATTCTATGAATGACACGGTCTACTGGAGCGATTCGATGATAGTACTGAGCTACATCAGAAATGAAAGTCGTCGCTACAAAACCTTTGTAGCCAATCGAGTATCAAAAATACTGAGTGTGTCCAACAAGCATCAATGGAGACATGTTCCAACCGATAACAATCCTGCTGACGAAGGTTCAAGGGGCACATACGAATTGGGTAAGTGGTTGACAGGTCCCGATTTTCTGTATAAAGAAGAATCACGCTGGCCAGTGTCGAAATTTTCAGAAAGTGATCAACTGACTCCTGATCCCGAGGTAAAGAAGCCAGTGGTAATAGTAAACAAGATACAGACCTGTGAGAGTAGCTTTGTAGAAACATTGACAGATAAATACTCATCTTGGACGAAGAAGATACGTGTTCTTGGGTGGGTATTACGGTTCATAAGATGCCTTAAAGCAAAGATGAAGCACCAACCCATAACGACAAGCAACTTGCTCGTGTCCGAACTGGAAGAAAGTGAGACCATGATCCTGTCAAGTTAGCAGAAGCACTCATTTCCGAATTGGAAAGCCGACAAGAGGATTAAAGACCTAAACCCAGTGCTCGTAGGTAATCTACTTAGAGTTGGCGGTAGATTAGATCATGCCAGAATAGATTACAATGCCCAGCACCCTGTGATATTGGCTAATGATGGAGAAACGGTAAGATCGCTGGTCATGAACTACCATCAGAAGGTCGGGCACAATGGATGGTCAGGCACATTGAACGCCCTCCGTGAACGTTTTTGGATCCTCAAAGGCAGGTCAGTGGTGAAGGGTATCTTAAGAAATTGTGTTATATGTAAACGACAAAATGCACGACGAGGTGAACAACAAATGGCGTCTCTACCTGAAGAACGTGTCACCGCAGATAGACCACCTTTTACATTCACCGGTATCGATTACTTCGGCCCCATAGATGTCAGGCAAGGTCGATCTATTGTAAAACGATACGGATGCATATTCACCTGTCTTGTGACGAGAGCCATCCACCTCGAAGTTGCGGACAATTTAAGTACAGACTCATTTATAAATGCCTACAGACGATTTGTTGCGAGACGTGGCGAGCCCTCAAAATTATTCAGCGATAATGGAACTAACTTTGTTGGAGGCGAAAAGGAACTCAGAAATGCCTTAGCTGAAATGAATCAAAACATCGTGGAAGAATTTCTTCACACCAAGGGAGTTGAGTGGCACTTCAACCCTCCCTCAGCCAGTCACTTTGGAGGTGTTTGGGAACGCCTAATAAGGTCAGTGAGAAAAACATTGTATAGTGTTCTTAGACAACAGACTGTTAACCATGATGTGCTACAAACGGTCTTAGCTGAGGTAGAGTCTATATTAAACTCCAGACCACTCACAGACTTGTTACCAGAAGCTTATGATGATGAGCCACTGACCCCTAATCATCTCCTTTTGATGAGGAAGGGACCTGCTGCACCGATAGGTAGAATCCAGGCCTATGGCAAAAGGCGTTGGCTCCAGGTACAGTATTTAGCTTCTCTGTTTTGGACCCGCTGGAAGAAGGAGTACCTCCCTCTTCTCCAAAAAAGACATAAATGGACGACACCCAGGCAGAATGTAGAGGTAGGTGACATTGTGCTTTTAGTCGATGAAACCCTGCATAGAGGAAGATGGCCTATGGGAAAAGTTGTTTCAGTCTACAGAAGTAAAGATGAAAAAGTACGCAGCGTCGATGTCAAGGTTGCAGGTGGAATTTTGAAGCGTCCTATCGCAAAGCTGTGCATAATATACAGAGGATCTATTGCAAAAGAACTACAGTAAATTGTTAAGATGACAATACATTGTTAATTAGTTAAGGCTGTTTTTGTAAAATAAAGTTCTGAAATCCTGTGTTGTGTACTTGATTTCAGCGTGGGGAGTGTTAGATCTTTCCTACGCAGCGCGCCCCCAGCGTTATCCTTGTATTTGTGAGGTAGAGCGAGCTTTGACATCGCGTCGGCAGAGCGAAGCTGGCATCAGTTGGTGATGCACGCGTATTATATTGATGGTTAGAATACCAAATTTGTGAGCGTAAATGCTTCATTTTAAGGCCCTATGTTACAAAAGATTATATATACGATTTGAATTTTAAGTTAAGGACACCTTTATCGAGATTCTGTTTGTCATCACATAATTTATTTATAGAGAAAGGAAGACATACAAAAATTGTTAGAGAAAATAGAATTTGTTTAGTCTGTGATATTGGAGAAATAGAGGATGAATTACACTTTTTATTTAACTGCCCTATATATAATAATTTTAGAGATAAATACCTTAATATTAAAAATCAAAATATATATACATATTTAAACTATGTATTCAGAAATAAAAAAGAATTAAGATTACTTGCAATATATATTGAAAAAATGTTTTAGTTTAAGAAATGACCGTTTAAAAGGAATTAATAATATTGATTTTGTTATGTAATGCGGGCCGAAGGTCAAAATTACAAAATAAATAAAGAAAGAAAGATCGTTATGAGCATTGTGGTAATAATATTTCCCTACCATGGTTTCGAGTAAAGCCTGGTTTCTTGTCGACGTAAGAAGGCAGATCTACTTACGACTACGTCATTTTATCGTAACAAATTGCGATTTGATAGGAAACCGATTGCGACTGGTGCGTTTGACAGGAAACTGTCGTATTGAATTTTCATTCGATACGTCGATTTTCCACGATTTGACAGGAAACTACGATTCAGTGACTTATGCTTGAGTGTTCACGCTGGCGTTGCCTTGTGTTAAAAAGTTGACTTGACATGGAGTAAACTTTCGTAAGAGACGTAGCATTATGGACCAGAAATCAGCAGCCAATCAGTTACGGGAATTATGACGTAGCCTTAATGACGTACCATGTTTTGACGTGGCTGAAACTGGTCAACAGTAGAAAAAATATATGAAAATTCAGTGGTTCTTGCTTCGTTGAGTAGTCTACCAACACTCCACACATTTTACCACATAGTAGCCTATACAAGTTTGTTTATTATTATTATTACTATTATTATTATTATTATTATTATTATTATTATTATTATTATTATTATTTTCATAATCATCATCATCATTACTATAATGAAATTGAATTCGAAAATAAACAGGGATTTGTTTCAATTAAAATCGAATAATAATAATAATAATAATAATAATAATAGTAATAGTAATAATAATAATAATAATAATAATAATAATAATAATAATAATAATAATAATAATAATAACAATAATAATAATAATGGTGCTCAAGGCGCAGTGTCAATTACACGACAAAATCCATAAAATTCACAGAAGAATTTCAAGCAAAATACAAATACCAATTATCCCATCGAGGCAGTGTTGCTCCTCATAAGTATGCGCAGATACTCAAAGGCAGTATGTTGAGCATCAGCACCTTCCACCCAGGATAAGCCCAGGGTTCCACTAACCGTGCACTGCAAAAGGAGCAACATTGCGTCGACAGAGAAAAGTGGTATCATGTTTTTTTTTATTTTTTTTTTTTAAATAATATAAATTCAGAGAAACATCAAGAATCTCTATACCAAACGAATTGTTTAAAAATAAATCTGTTGCCAACCATTCCTATTCCCACACTAGAATCCATTCGGAAACGTTATCTTTATTATGGGCCTAATAACGATAATCTAAAATTTGACGATGGGATTGATATAGTTATTAATTCGTTTAAGAACGCCGTATTATGATTTGTGGGGATTGGAACTTAACTTTAAACTCGGTTAAAATACAAAAAAAGTACGTAAGAATAAACAATCCGAAAGCAAGAGAAAGGGTCTTAAAAATGATAGATGAAATAGAATTAGCAGATCCCTGGCGCATAATGAATCCTGAGTTGTCAAGATTCACGTGGCGGCAGCATAACCCAATTAAACAGGGTAGATTGGATTTTATTCTCATACCAAATTAATTTTGTCGCTTATAGACAAATGCAAAATTGACTCCGGATATTGTACGGACCATTTTATGGTTTAGCTTACAATTTACAGCTCAAACAGACATTAAAAGATGTTGCTCTTTGAAATTCAACAAGTGTCTTCTAAAAGACAATGTATACGTTGAAATGATCAAAAATGAAATTAAAGAAATATTATGGAAATATGCTGTAACCCGGCCATATGAGAATCTATATATAATATTCCGATTTGTGAGTTGGATTTTTCTATAAATGATGCTTTATTGTTTGAAGTTCTTATGGCTATAAGAGGCAAAACAATTGCCTTTGCTTCCAAAAAGAAAAAAGATCAAATAGACAATAATATAGTTAAAACAATAGAAGAATTAGAAAAGAGAATAGATGAAAATCAGGTTGACCCAGATGTAGAAGAGATATACAAGATGTAAACATTAAAAAGGGGGAGCTACAATCACTTCGCAATATTAAAAAGGAGGGTGTCATGCTTAGTTCTAAAGCGCAATGGATAGAGCTTGGGGGAAAACTAACAGCGGTTTTGTTAAACAGAAAAAATAAATTTATGAACAAATTAATAGATTAGAGGGATAATGAAATAACAGCTAATAATAAAATAGTAGAGACTGTGGAAAGATATAAAAAAAATTATATTCAAAATAGATATTAAACTTTGAATTCACATTATTAAGAACGTTATTTGATGATATGTCAAATTTAAACAAACTATCAGATACCGGTACACAAAGAAAGGAAACTTAGGGACCACTTCACTCTTCTGAAATAGCAAGAACTCTAAAAAAAAAAATATGACTAACCATAAGAGTCCCGGACAAGATGAATTTACGGCGGAGTTTTTTTGTTTTTTTTAATTTTGAAATTTTATTTAATAATGGATGTATTAAGCCCTGTCTACCTTGCATTCCATTTCACATGAAAATCCTCTTAGAAGACAAAAAAGTTTGTCGCAGATTATACGATACTCTTAACAAGAAATCTGATCAGCTTTGCAAAAGTGGATTTTGGATACCACGAATTTTACGCTAAACATCATTAATGAAGTAATTATATTTGGTATTCATGATAATAATCAGCCACTTAGGTGCTCGGCAAATAATTCTATACCGTTAGTGGTAAATTACTCTATTTTAGAAAGCAAAATTGCTGGTTCAAAACCTTCAATGAGACAAATTATAAACGAGATTATATAAACTTATAAAACAGAATGTTATATCGCTAAACAGCAATTGAAAGTTGATATTTTTAATATGAAATGGGCTTTTTTTAGAACAACTGTTTAACACCTAATGTGGATAAAATGATGATTTCTCTTTTAATCTACGGTACTGAATATGATTGGTCTTGTTTAAGGGGGTTTTTTTTTGGTTTTTTTGTGTTTGTTTTTTGGTTTTTTTTTTTTGTAAGAAAAAAAATTAGGTTGATAATATGACAGCTTTAATATATTATGATTGCAATATGTTTTTGTTACAATGCTTTAGACAATGTTATTGTTTAGAAAATAATAATCTCATAGACAAATTATAAACGAGATTATATAAACTTATAAAACAGAATGTTATATCGCTAAACAGCAATTGAAAGTTGATATTTTTAATATGAAATGGGCTTTTTTAGAACAACTGTTTATCACCTAATGTGGATAAAGTGATGATTTTTCTTTTAATCTACGGTACTGAATATGATTGGTCTTGTTTAAGGTTTGTTTTTTTGTTTTTGTTTTTGTTTTTTTTTCTTTTTGTAAGAAAAAAAATTAGGTTGATAATATGACAGCTTTAATATATTATGATTGCAATATGTTTTTGCTACAATGCTTTAGACAATGTTATTGTTTAGAAAATAATAATTTCATATTAAAAAACAGAAAAACAGATTAATTTCAAATGGAAAGGTATAGTGCATACTCCGGGATATAGGGTGCGTTCCGTCGTGTTAGATTCGGTGTTTCGGCGTTGATTGTGGCTTCATCGGGATTGAATCCAGATGATACTGTATAGTTGGTGTCAGGAAGCTGTTTTTACTGTTTGTTGATGAATTGAATGAAAAAAAATATAATAGGTGTCTAGATGGGACCTTCCAGATAATTAGTAAAATGGGAGCTACTCCCAGATAATTAGTTTGCCATATCACTGAGGAATGTTTACCTCCCAGGTTCCTAGTTAAAATTAAAAGCATTTAACTGAACAGTTTACAATGATAAAGTCAATATAGCTGGGTTACACGTGTTTCATAATTATGCACCTGGCGTGTTCCCGTGACTTTCGAAGAATTGTTATGATGAATGTGTGATATAGGATGTGCATTTGATGATAACGATTTAATGTTGTTTTTGTGTAGGCCTGTTTAGTTTCTTTTTTCAGGCCAATATTTAGGCAGATACTAGCATGAGAATATTGATTGTCGTAGGCCTGTGCATAGCAGATTTTTTATAGGTCTATAGCGCACAAAAGATAGGTAGGCCAAGATGTCAAAAATATATAAAATCGACAATTCATTAAAATAAGCCTATACTGATCTGATTGGGAACAGGGTAGGGAAAGCAGTTAATCCGTTTGTCGTTGTTTTGATGCGAATACTTCCACCACTGTACCGATTTCGATTTCTGTGTCAATGAATGTGCATTATATTAACGCGAGTGTTGCAAGGCGTTCGTGCGTCATACTTGCTCGTACAGGAGATGTGTAATCTTCGTAAAGCGCTTGTACATTCGCGACTTGTAATCAGTGACGGATCAAAGAATTCAAAATAGAGGGGGCCAGGGGTACTTTAACAGATGGGGACAATGGCGGATTTAGAAATTCGAAAAGAGGTGTACCCATCGAGGGACTTCCGCAGAAATAAGGGTCCACCCTCCTCAGCCCCACCATAGTTGGGGCTAAGGGAAAAATTATGATTATGGTACCTCTAGATAGTCGGAAGTGGCACCCTAAGACTTAAATGTTATTATAATCACTGAGTGTATTTTCTTTATAACTTTTAAAAATGTTGGGAGCTCCGGGCCGGCTCAACCTCCTTGAATCTGCCACTGGAGGTGTATAACACCTCATACCCAGCATGGTCGTGGCTGAACTAAGACAATTTATGATTATGCCACCT